AGACACACCAAAAGTATATGAACTCTGCACCATTGAAATTAAGAAAATTTTCAAAAAGCCAAGTGCTAGCGATAGATCCAAATCTGTTCACACACAAGTTGTAGTACCATGGGTGGCACAACGACCCATCTTTGAAAAAATTTAGTCACCCACCATTATAATTATACCAATAATACTAAACTGAACAACGAGTACCAAGAGGGGAGCCTCACATCACAATTTCTTTTGCAGATGCTTCACAAAACTAAATGGAAAGACTAACGACTTCATTAGATCCTGAGTATTCCGATTGACACAAGCTTGTATTTAAATGTAAAGTCTTCTCACCTTAAATGGATGCAGGGGAGTAGTACTTCAGGAGCTCCTCTTTTCTTCTTTCTAGTTCATGTAGTGTTTCTTGATCAACAACTAATTCAATTGTTCTAATTATCCTGCACAGTTATCCATAAGAGAAAATGTTTTACAATCAAGTAGTATCTTGTTAAATTGTTGTCTACTACTCTACTCATTACAAATTTTCAAAAAATAAACAAAACATATACCTGATTTGTAAGCTCCGTGATCCTCGATTCTTTTTCTAGATTCCCCCCTGTACAATAACAACGTTCAAAGCTTGAAATGTATTTGAGAGAGCATCTTCTATAAGAAACATCAAAACACAAAAACAAGTCCACTTACTAGTCAGCTGGAGTGTTTCATTACAAAGCTCATCCCTTACCTATTAGGAAGTGAAAAGATATTAAATGAGTGAGGCATCTAAAATTTACATTCACATGAACTATTCCTACAAAGACAACCTGATAAATTACACGAGTTCTTAAAATCCCATATTTGAACTCACATTGTTTTGAGTTTTGACAGTCTCAAGTGAAACTAGTAAGTTGTTATAAGCATCCTTGTCAGATAAAAGCTTACCAAGCTCATCAACACTACAACAAATTACAATTTCAATATTAGCACAGAAAAAGAGGAAACCTAAGATGATCAACATGCATTCAATATTCAAGATTTGGAGGGTTTTTTTCCTTTTTAAAACAGATGGGCCATATTGTAAAGAATCACGAAATAAGAAAGCTGCAATTTATCTGTTTATAGATAGAGAACAACTTATTAACGAAGAACACACAATCTAACACAACTTGTGAATGTGTTCACCAAAAGCTACCTTTTATGTTTTAGAACATCTATGATGGAAGCAGTCTCTGCAGGAGATACATGTGATGAGGAGCTCTGTCTGTCAGAAGGCCTTGATAGACTGATGCTCCAGAAGAACTGCGAGAATTGACATCAGATGGATTTTCCTGCCTATGTGAAGGAGATGGTTGCTCCTGAGAACCCCTGTAGATATAAACATTTTGCAATACCCTCAAGCATCAAAGTATCTCAAACAAGCTAAACCTTCCTCTATTTCAACCAAGCCCTATGATGGAGTATATGGGTCCAGACCCCATGACCCACATACTCAAAAGACTGAGAGGAGCACAACTGTCATCCAGTGGGCCCTCCGTCGGCCAGATGGCACCCCATCGGCCGAAAAAGAGTCAACCCGGAATACGCTCCAGAAGCCAAGGAGAAGACTTCTCCCCAGTCGACCAGTGTCCCCGTCGGCCAAGCGTCTCCGTCGACCATGCCTCCGTCGGCCGAGCGCCTCCGTCGTCCATGCCTCCGTCGCCCGAGCGCCTCCGTCGTCCATGCCTTCTTCGGCCGAGCGCCTCCGTCGGCCAAAAGGAACTCACGGGACTAGACTTCTAATGTAATCAACCCAATAGAGGCTCTATATTGTAATAGGCCTCCCAAGCCCAAGACTTGGGAGCCCAGCCCACTTTTTCCTATAAATACTCCCATTGGGAGCCATGTAAAGGGTTCAAAAATAATTAATACAACTCACTTCTCTCTCTAGCTCTCCCTTCTCTCTAGGAGTTAATACTCCATCACCCTAATTTCTATTTCGCTTTGCTTAAGTCAAAGGAAATTCACATGGAATCCCAAAATCAAGAGTAACACTATCCTAGTTTATAGTGACTTCATGCTCTATACTTCATAATAACATTAAAAAATCCGAAAATCTAGCCATCTAGCCATCCTTAAAGAATGAGTAACTCGTGTTGTTCTTCATATTGATAAATGAATGATATTGTGAAGAAACATCCATTCAAAATCTCACTCAGGCAATTTCACAAGCATATTATAGACATGTGTAAACTAAAACATAATTAAGTAAACGTTATTATGTTTTATCTGAAATTTGAATGAAATAAACAACCTCTAGATCGATAAAACCATAGAAGTATACAACAATTGAAAGCAGCGGCGAGTGCTAACCAAGAGCATGGGTGTGTCGCCTTCGTCTTCGTCTCTTAATTGAGAGCAGCGGCGGCGGTGCTTCATCTTCGTCTATTAATGGAGAGCAGCAGCAGCGGTGCTTCATCTTTGTCTTGGTTGAGAGCAGCAACGGCGGTGCTTCAATTCGTCTTCGTCACTTGATTGAGAGAGCAGCAGCGATGCGTCTTCGTCTTTTGCCCTACTCTCCGCTATCGTTGTTTGTTTTTTACTTTTATCTTACAAAATTGATACTCTTTTTAAATTACAAAAGAGACCCTGTTTAAAACATAAGTTTTCGAAAATTATTTAAATGACCCCGTTTTTGTGAACTATGTCGGTTCCTTCTCAAACCGTTATTGATAACATTTTATATTTATAATATGTACCCACTAAAGTTACTCAAAAATTTCATTATTTATGAATATGACCTCGTGTCTACATATTATAACGGTTCTAATTGAACCCATATGAAAAGCTAGTTATAGAATGTGTTGTTTGCATTAGTGCATGCTACTAGAATGTGTTATAGAATGCTACTTGCATTAGAATCCTTTCATGATTCATAATCTTGCATTTTTTAAAATGGGAAAAAGTGAATGTTACAGGACAATTAAGAGCCCGTTTGGAAACACCAAATTTGGCTGATTCTGCTGAAATTTATGAAATTCTGGCTGAAGTGGCTGCATTGGTTGGTTCTGCTGATTTAAGAAAAAAATATTTTTTAAAAATTTTTTATTAATAAAATAAAGAAAAAATTATATATAAAATAGCTAAAATGATCATCTATAGTAACTTCAATCAATATAGCTAGAAAAGTACTCCAACCTTACTTTTTTTATTACTACGTATTACATAATTCAGCGCACGAAAACAAAAGTTACGTGTTTGATGAAAAAGTTGACTGATAAGACAGATAAGTCGAAAAATAGTGTTACCAAACGCCCTCGAAGATTCATGGATAAAAGTCTTAAAATTAGTTTGATATACTCTCCATGTCCCCCTATAATTGTCTCATTTTTTCATTTTTGGATGTTCCCTATTATTGTCACATACCATATGTGGTAACACTTGTGTGGTCAGGGCCGGCCCTGGCGGTGTGCAGGGTGTCCAACCGCACAGGGCCCAAAAAATTGGAAGGGCCCAATTTTTTTTAGTAGTATACTAGTATTACTTAGAGGTGGTTTCGGTTCGGTTTTGATATAAAACCAAATGAATTACAAAAAAATTGGACTAGGGCAAAGCTTTGAAGCAGGCCTGGTTCGCCACTTCGCGTATTCCTCGCATGCAAAGGAGGAGCGTATATATAGGAACGAAGGAGTAGTAAATCCTCCATTTCCACCGGTGTGGGAATCTTAAGCTTTTGAAACAAAAAAGAAAAGAAGCGAGGCATGCGGGATGAGAACCCAGGTGAAAATAAAAGCATGCACGCTGATTTCTAAACATCAACCACTCGACCAAATCAACTACTCTCTCCGTCCCAAAAACAACTTCTCAGTTTGACTAGCACACACATTTAGGTAGATTAAAATTTTGGTTTGACTTTCCCAAAATTTTACTATTTTGACACTGTTTGGACACTGTTTAGCACTGTTTGGACACTGTTTAGCACTGTTTAACACTGTTTTGATGTTGATAATTTGCTAAATAAGGAAGTGGGAAGAAGTGTGAAGTTAATTTTGGGACATCCATTTAAGGAAAGTGGGAAGTTGTTTTTGGGACGGAAGGAGTAATTATTAAAATAAGGACGTACAAGCTTTATATTACCTATTTGTTATACAAAATAAATAATTAAAAATACCTCTTAATAAAAATCGGTTCGATTCGGTTTGAACCGATTTTATAACTCAAAAACTTTCATTAAACCGATTTATGTTCGAGTCCCGACTTTCGGGTCCCGTTTGACTCGGTATGGTTTCGATTCGATGTTTTTAATTTGTGTTGAAATTTTGAAAAGAAAACCCAATTATTTTTGTTACACAGAGCCTTCATTTCTTCAGGACCGGCCCTGTGTGTGGTTCTAATTCATTTATACTTTATTTCCACTTTATAAACTTATTATCAATCACATAATTCAATTTTTTCTAAAAATTACATTACTTCCTTCATATTAGGGGGGCAAGTATTATTTAGGAGGAAAAGTAAAAACATCTTTAAGCATGCTACCATACCATAAAACAAACGAGGCACCATGGAATCTTCCTTTATTGATTTTGGAATGAGGAGTAATAATAAGGCGAAGAACGGGAAAACAATAACCCACCACCAATTTCGCCATCAATTCAGAGCTTTCCCCCAAACTCCCTTTACCCTTGCGTATATCCTCTCTCCTCTCTTCTTCCCACTTTCGGCGTCTTCATTTTAGGTAGAGTAATTACTGCTTTGTTCTTCCCATATCTTACCTGCTCGCTTATATACTTATATTCTACGGGCCAAGTTCATCTCCCAATACCCTTTTTTCCATTCTTTATTTTCTCACGGTCGAAGCAGTGAATTCTGTGTTTTTCATAACTTTAATTTCATCCCTGGCCTTCTCTAGAGAAATTAAAATGGAGTGTATTGAAGCCAGAGCGTTTAAGTCCAGCGCCCTCAAGAAAATATCAATGAAATCGAACCCACAAGTCTTTTTCGACGACGTTTGGTGTTTAACCGGCCTTAACAACGTTAATAGTGGCGGCGACGATTTTTCCATCGACGACCTGTTGGACTTTTCCGGCAAGGATTTCACCGGGAGTTCGTCGTCTTTAGACTCCGAGGAAGACGACGGACGTAAACCCAATTTCTGTTTGGTGTCTTCTCCTCAGCACCGCCAGAATTCCGACTCCCTGACTTTTTCCGGCAACGACGACTTCGCCTCTCTTTCTCCCGGCCAACCTCCCCTGCCGGTATGTAATTTTCATTTACAGAGTTGAATTTTCCCACCGGCGTACTTTCTTGACTTAATTGATTGAAAAATTCTACTCCGTAAAAGGAAAAGAGTAATCTTTTTTGCTTTTTTTTGCAGGCTTACGATATGGAGAATCTTGAGTGGTTATCACAATTCGTGGATGACTCTTCATCGGAATTGTCATCGTTTTTGCCCAACCCCTGTTTTCAGCCGGGAACCGGGAATACCCCGGAGAACCGGTGTGAACCGGTGGTAATTCCGGCCTGCCAGAGAAAACCGAGGAGCAAAAGGCTCAGGATAACCCGGCAGCTATGGTCATACTTGGCACTACCACTGCCTTCAGAGCCATCTTCATCGTTTTCCGGCGGCGTCGGCGGTAAAGAAGGGCCGCCGGCGAAGAAGCAGAGAAGAGAGTCAACGGCGGATACCGGTTCAGGCGCCGGTTCACTACGGCGTTGCAGTCATTGTCAGGTTCAGAAGACTCCACAGTGGCGAACCGGGCCGATGGGTCCGAAAACTCTGTGTAACGCTTGCGGAGTTAGGTACAAGTCCGGCCGGCTCTTCCCGGAATATAGACCGGCGTGCAGTCCGACCTTCTCTGGAGTGAAGCACTCCAATAGTCACCGGAAAGTTTTAGAGATGAGACGGATGAAGGAAGCCGGCGCCGGAGCGACGACCGTTTAGACGCCAGGGTGGACCGGCACCTTTGGGTATCAATGGTAGGCGTAGCCGCGTAGGTAGATGTACGTCATATTTGGGCAAGTGTAACGGTAACGGCGATAGTGATAGGCATCTAGACGGAGTTTAGGAAGGTTATAATTACTTAATTAGTGCATGGATTCTTCGCTTTGATTTGGTTGTAATTTGATTTTTTAAAATTTATCTCAGTTTACTGTATCAGAGTCATTATCAGTTAGTGGAACTATTTGGTTTCCTATTATCATTACTATTATTAATTGTGTCCTAATAGTGGACAACTAGTAAGAGATTGAAAAGCACGTCTTAATCCAAAGTATCTCAAAGTTTTTAATTAAATTTCTCATTTGTAACCCTTACCCATAATAATCATAAAAAATCCTTACCTATAATAAACTATGTCAAAGCATTTTATTATATTCTAATGTTAAATTTCTCATTTCATCTCAAGGCTATTCGTAGCTGGGAGGTCTTAGGAGTCCAAAAAGTTAAAAACTTAACTTTTGGACTCCTAAATATGTGTAGTGGATGCACGGTCGGACTCCTAAATATGTGTAGTGGATGCAGGGTCAGTCCTGAGAAAATGAAGATCACGTGCAACAAAAATAATTGGATATTCTTTTCAAAGTTGCAACACAATTTAAAAAACCGAACCAAAACCGCACCGGCTCAAACGGGACCCGAAAGTCGGAATTCGAACATAAATCGGTTTAATGAAGGTTTTTTGAGTTATAAAATCGGTTGAAACCGAACCAAATCGATTTTTATTTAGAGGTATTTTTAATTATTTATTTTGTAGAACAAATAGGTAATATAAAGCTTGTACGTCTTTATTTTAACAATTAGTTGATTCGGTCCAATTGGTTGATGTTTGAGATCAACGTGCATGATTTTATTTTCACCTGGGTTCGAATCCCGCATGGCTCGCTTCTTATCTGTTTAGTTTCTAAAGCTTAAGATTCCCACACCGGTAAAAACGGAGGATTTAGTACTCCTTCGTTCCTGTATATACGTTCCACCTCTAAGTAATATTACTCCCTCCGTCCCAAATTGTTTTGTAAAGTCAACATTTTTGGGTCAACCAATAAAAAAAAGTCAATGCTCGCTATCGATAATTAATTCCATTTTTAATAATTAAAGTTTATATATTCAGAAACTATATTAATATCTCTTCAAAGTTGTAAATTCCAAATTAGAATATTATTAAAAATTGACATCTTAATTAAGCAAATAGAATGAAATTGTTTGACCAAGAAAAGTCAAATTTGCAAATCAATTTGAGACGAAGGTAGTAGTATATTACTACAAAAAAAATTGGGTCCTTCCAATTTTTTGAGCCCTGTGCGGTTGGACACTCTACACACACTCAGGGCCGGCCCTGAGTGGATGATTAAGAGGGGTGTTAAAAGTGGGCAGGGGATTGGGGTTGTTATTAGTAGATGGTGGATTGATTCCTAAACAATGATGTCATCTTTGTGTCATTAAACCTCAAGTTTTAAAATGTTCTTATAACTTTTTTATAAAATTTTATCAATCCAGGACCTGAAAGATAGACAAATTATAAATTCATGATTTGAAAGATGAAATGTATCAATATAGAATCTGAATGATTGAAAATTATCAATTTAAGACCTGAATGATTGAAAACTATCAATCTAGGACCTAAGTTGTCATGAATTTTATTATTATTTTTATTTCAAAATATTTAAATATCATTTAGTTTTATTAAACTAATAAACTTTTGTGAAGAAAATTTTATCAAAAATCAGCAATGGAATTAATAAAAAATAAAATAAATAAAAACCGACGAAATGTTAGGTCTTAAATTGATAGTTTTCCAGCATTCGGGTCCTATATCGATACAATTTATCTTTTGGGTCCCGAATTGATAATTTATCTATCTTTGAGGTCCTGAATTGATAAAATTCCCTTTTTTATTTGCATTCTAATTTTTTTTTTAAATATATATGAAAATTCATGAATTTTCATGATCTTTCATATGATACCAATATGTAATATATAAAATGATTTTTTTGAAATTTTAACTGCTAAAGTTTTTTTTTATCACAAAAAAAAGAAACACAATTTTTTAATTCATGGAGCCTTCACAAATAACTGTACATTTCATAATCGAACTTTACTTGAACCAATTTCATTTTTGTTAACCGAAAAACGTTAAAAAAATTTAAAAAAATTATTTATTTTAACATCGAAATATGTATTTTTTATTTCATAATTATTCAGGGAAAAATTTAAAAGGGAAACGTTACTTATAATAATTTAATTAATGTTTTATTTGTTATGTAAAAAAAATGTTAAGTGTATTTTATTAATAATGCTGAAATGGAAGGAAATGAGAGTTTAAACTTTCATATAAATGGAGTCCATGTTTAACAATTGAGCCTCTCTACCACTACAAATCGTTTAAACCACTACAAATGGCTTTGGTCAAGGGAGTTTCAACGTTCAAGTTTGAGATGTCTGTAGAATAATCAACCTTGTCCCATGTTATACATCTATTGTTCTAAACGACTGTGTTTGGTAACAATCTTGTCGAATATCAGAACATGGATACATGTGAATTAAAATACTCCCCCAGTATGGTACTTGTGTTATTCCATTTTTTTTCTCATTAGAGTACCTATGTTGTGGTTTTGCTCATTTTTCTCTCCTCTACACAAACTTTAACCACATAATTTTCACTATTTTTATATTTAAACTAATTCAAATATTGCAAAATCCATTGGAGGGAAGTAGTATGAGATATATATTTCACACCCTATTTGATCTAACAAAAGCTCAATTATCCAATCATTTGTGTTAATTGAGCCAAACCCTCTTGTGAAATATAAATTCGGCGCATTAGTCCTTACGATTTAAAAAATGCGTCAAACCCCCATGTGTTTTAATTAATCATGCACAAAAACCCCTCCAAGAACAAATGTTACAATTTTGAAATCATTTTTTAATAATATTGTTGAATATGCAAGTAACTTTATCAAAATTTCTAAATTATACAAAAAAAACTAATCATTTTTCATTTTTTGGAAATTAAATCTGTTCTTGGAGGGGGTTTGGCCCATGATTAATTATAACACAGAGGGTTTTGATGTGTTTTTAATCACAGGAAATTAATGCGCCGAATTTATATTTCACAAGGAGATTTGACACGATTAACCCCCATCGTTTGAATTGTTAGAGCATCACGATAGCAGAGTTCAAGTTTCAATTTTTGAAACTTCAAATTGACATTTATATACTTCGTATAGTTTAGAATCTTGACAGTTTTACTTGCATGTTAAATCAGATCATAACATCAAAACACGTGTTTTTTAATTTGGTAAATATCTTGTTTCAAAGTGTTATGTGCATCATTAATTATAATACATTGATGTTTGATGCATTTTTTACGTAAATTATACTAATGTGCAGAGTTTATGACTGAGTTTGGCGTATTAAACTCAATTGAACTTTTTTTATAGAACTTAGCTTCAAACTCAATTAAATAATTTACACTGAAATATATTGAATGATTAGTGGGTGCACATTAAACCATGAACATGACATAGTTGAGGAAAATATGAATTTGTTCATGACTAATGTGGCATATTAAAGCAGAGTTTATTACGAAAACTCTAATTTCACCCATTAACTTAGGCTATGTTTGGCACGCATAAACATCTGTCTTGTAGCTTTTGTACCGTTCAAAAAGTCTTAAAAAGTTTCTAGTTTTATATTTGGTATGACAATTTTTAAGAGCTTTTAAAAAATTAAAAGATCTTTTTTGAGATGCTACAAAGAGTAACGTATGAAAAAAGCTTGTGACATTTAGTATTAATTAGTCCTAACAGCTTGTATACCAAACCGAACTAAATCAAACAGTCAGTTTTTTACCAAACAGCTACCACATTTTCTCTTTAAGATCTTTTCAGTCACTAAAAGCTAACAGTTATTAAAAAACTTACAAAAGAATCTTTTCAGCTAGTTGTGCCAAACATACCCGTAATCTTATTAAGGAGTAGCTTATTTCAATTCTCTCTAATTTCAATTACATGCTTTGATATGAACGGTTTCCTTAATTGCATACATAAAAAAATGAGGGACTTATATTTTAGATAGAAGCAAAAGATTACCTAATTAGCACCTCCGTTTAAAATATACAATCTACTCACTTAATAATAAGGCATAACTTTCTAATTGAAATTAAATTACCAAATAATTTCTATTGAGTGCAATTATTGAATTATTTACACATTAGTTGATTAAATAAAACCAATGAGAGGTGATTATTATTTCTATTCAACCAAGTCCTAAGTTGGTAGTATTGATTTTCCAGTTCGTATACCATGCAACCGTCCCACGGTGCGCATGGTATACCATCCCAAATTGTAGTGGACTTTGTTATTTTTTATTTCTTCTTTTCTTAAAAATGTTGATAACTTTTTTATTTTTGATCCGATTTTTATAAAATTTATATCAAATTTTTTTATTTTTCATGATCTTTCAAATGAGACCAATATTGCCTATGTAATTTTAACATATTAACATTTGCGTGTAAAAATATGTAACTTTACGTGTTAAAATATGTAACTCACGTTCAGTCAGGCCAAATGCAACTCGTGTGTATAAATATGTAACTCTACGTGTAAAAATATGTAACTTCACGTAAAAAAATATATAACTCACGTTCAGACAGGTCAAATGCAACTCGTGTGTATAAATATGTAACTCGTGTGTATAAATATGTAACTTTACATGTAAAAATATGTATCTTCACATATAAAAATATGTAACTCACATGTATAAATACCTAATACAATAAATTTTTATATACACGATTTTAAGATAAATTGTGATTTACACAATTATTTTTCTGTATTAAATTTAGTTCGATTTTCCTTATAATCCAATAATCATTTATATAGTAGTTCCATAATTTGTTAAAATTACATAAGCAATATTGGTCTCATTTGATAGATCATGAAAAAAAAAATTAATATAAAATTTATAAAAATCAGATATGAAACAAAAAATTTATTACAATTTTTAACAATAAAAGGAATAAAAAATAATGGAACCGGGCCACAAAACTCCTTCGATTTGCAACCGGACGCACCATCTTCATGGTGCGCCGGTTGCACGGTATAATCTGCGTTGATTTTCAAATGTAATACGGAGCATTGATTTCCAAATAAACTACTAGGACTCATTCCATTTTCAAGAGATTACTTTGAAAGAGATTATATTACGTAGTATTATACATTTAAAAGGAGGTTTTCCAAAAACAAACAATGTGATGCTATTTGGTGCGTGTGGTGTTACATTACAATAGCATAGCCATTGTACATTTATATTAATTAAAATG